CCACACTTTAAACATGACAGATCATTAAATCGGGACTGATTGCATCAGAAGCATCACCGGCTGACGTCATGATGCTTCTTTCTGCCTCTGAGAGCTGAAGCCCGGTCAGCACTGCGCATGTACGAACCTGACTGTGGTGATTAATCCTCATCAATGGTCACTGGGCCTGGTTCTGATCAGGAGTTCTGTTGGACCCTGTTCCACCGGCTGCTTGTCATGATTTCTGCTGCTGCTGTCTGACTCCGGCCGCAGTGCCTGATGGGAAACAGCTGATGCTGCATTCAGGGAACCTCGACCAATCCGGAACTCTCTGCCTTTTTGTTTGAAAACAGTCAATAGATAGGGAGCAGTGAGAGAGACACATTACAACAATAAGTCAGTAAAAAAAACAATAGAATAAAAGAGGAAATGAAAAGAAGAAGAAATAAAATAAAAAATAAATAGTTTGGCAATATAAAGCAATATTAATGAAAATGAATCCATAAAAGAAAAGGCTAATAAAAGTAGAAAAATAAGGACAAATAAATAAAACAATAAAATAACAATATTTTAGTTTTTTCATTTTTAAAAATTATTTTTGAATTAAATTATTTTCTATTTTATCTTTTTTTTTTTTTAGTTTATTATTGTTATTATTATTTTATTTTATCTTATTTCATTTTCATTTTTTTCTAGTTTAAAGGATTTTTATTTCAAAAATTAAGAAGCAGAGCATCCTGAATACTTTTTGGGCCGCCGACTAATATTAACGACTTCATTTAGCAAGAAGTGTCGCTATTTTTTTCATCTTTACTGACACAAGTTTAGATCAATCTTATGTATTAATTTAATTTAATTTAGTTTAGTTTAATTTAAATTAATTTAATTTAATTTTGCTTTATTTTATTTAGATTTTATTAATTAGGACAAAGATGAAGTTATTTTATTAAAAGCAGCAGCCGTGTGTGAATGAGATTAATAAAGATGTTTTCTAGAGAATCCTGTGGTGCTGACAAATATTTTTTTAACATTAAAGAGAAAAACAGACATCTGCCTTGTAAGAATAATGATGGACTCAGAGCTCCCACTGAAGACAACATGCATTCATTTTAAATCACTGCTCATGCGCTGCTTTTATGACACAGAGTCTTGTTTACTTGTTAAGAACCGCTGCGCTGCTGATATGTCCGACAGCACCTAAAGGCAACACGAGCAGCCAATGAGCGTCCAACACCGAGGGGGCTGGTACCCTGGATGCATTACACGACTTTTCAGAACCGGACTAGTTCAGTGCAGCTTCCTGTCTGGTCTGGTTCCCTCCTCTGATAGAAATGTGTTCTATTATATGTGCGCGTGTTTGCACATTAGCTGTAAATGTGCAAACTCGCGCAGCTCCACGCAGATCAGCGTGGGCAGGATTAGGGCCACTTCTGCTCCTGCAGCAGCCAGATGTCTGAAACACGGCTGCGCGAGCTGCTGTGTGACTGAGTTCTGAACGGAGCAGGTCCAGTTTGGCTCCAGACATCATGTCGACTGTTTACATTTGTGCAGGCGGCCACATTTACCCAGAGTACACCGGGACACACGGAGGAGCAGCCGCGTCAAGCTGGCGGCGTTTGGCGGTAAAAAGGAAAACACCATGGTTCGCCTTCAAAATAAAAGAAGTCAGATTCAGAATTCAAAAGTCAGAAATGAGGACTTTCATAAAAGAGGCGTTAAATGGTGAAAACAATACAAGCTCATGAGTAAAGGTTTGAGGTGACTGCATTTTATTTGACTGTTCCCATCATTGTATTTATACCACCGAGCAGGTTCTGGTGAATTTAACAAATTAGACACGAAAATGTTGTCGGATCATGAAACACAGTATTAATTAGAATTATAGTTATATATTAATGACAAGAACAAATTAATGTTTGTAAACGTGAAAAAAGAGATTGTTTGATGTGTACATGTGGACGCGGTTTTAGTCTGTTTTGTTTATTTAGTTTTTTGTTTGTTTTTACAGTTACACGTAAACAAATACTTTTTCAGTGACTTTGCCAGATATTATCTGAAGAAGAAATTACTCACTATTTCTCAATCTTTAATAAACTAATTTTTTTCCCTTTAAAAAACAAATAAAAAATTTAAAAATGTGTAATTAGTGAACATGTTTCCTTCAAATAATGTGAAATATCTATATAGTGATGTTTTTTTTTTGTCTGATTTAAACACGGTAAATAAAAATTAAAATAGCGTGATCTCTCAGTTAAAAGTTGTAAAATGATTATTGTGAAATTACAGATGTTGAAGATGTAATTGTGTTTAACAACTAAATGGACACTACAGTCAACTGTAATACAAAACATAAATACTAGTAATTATCTGCAATCTAACAAAACATATAATATTTGTGAAATAGCCGTAAACTGAAAAGAAAAAGTTATTTAAAAAAAATAAGTTTTGACAGAATAGATATGAGTGAAAGAGCAACTTCAAAGTGTTCTCCTCTCTGGTGCTATTGTTGTTAATTCACCAAATAATTTCTCCGTTCACGTTTGTTCGTTTAGAGTTGTCTTTGTTTTGGTAATACACTGAGAAAAAAAAAGAAAGAAAAGAAAAAACAAGTCTTTTATTCTGAAAATTCCGACCGGACGTGCTGCCGCCGTCGCCGTTGTCTTGACGACGAGACCGAGGTCCACGGCGCAGCGAGAGTGACGAGGAAATATCTGCTAATCTCTGGATATTACCACCGCGGATATTTTTGGAAAATCATGCAGAAGCCGTGAAATGAGCGAGTGAGATGCTTTTACTTCCGAGAGCGAGGATAAGCACCGCTGGCCCTTTGATGAGCACGAGCAGCGCGGCTCCGAGGGGAAGCTGCTGCTGCTGCCTTCATAAACACTTCTTTAGGACTCACTACAACCCCTGAGCTTTTGTTTTGGGCTCACTCGCCACCGAACAGCGCCGAACAGAACCCCCGCTGTGCTCGTGGCGTGGACGGATGGCTGATAAAGGTAAAGCGGACGTGGAGCGGGTCGGCGGAGCGGTCCGGCTCCGGCAGGAACACCAGAAGGTAAAAACCAGAACCAGCAGTTGTTCTGTTGCTTTGCAGGCTCGTGAGCAGCAGCGGTAGCAGCGACCACGCGGCGTGTCCCTGAGCCACGAGTGGGCGTGAGGAAGTGCTTTAATTAGCAATAAATGCTAATAACGAGGACGTATTGCGTCTTAAAGCAGGTCCGTGAGCTGGTGTTTTATGGCTTTGACTGAGTTTCCAGAAGCTTCCTCACATGTGGGTCTTTGAACGCAGCACCAGGAGTTAGTTAGACTTAGTTTCGCTTCTTCTTACTTTTACTTTTTCTCTTCCACACTAATGAAACAAGACGCTGCATGTCTTATAGTTTAATGTGAACGCGCCTGTAAATATTCAGGCTTCATGATCAGGAGCTGAACCTGTAACTCCCATAACGTTTGAATCAGTCACTTTATTCCTATAAAATCAGATGTAAGGCTCCTAAACCTGAACCATTATTATTATTTCTCTACTGGAGGCCACTTTGGCTCTGGTGGTTTTTCAAAATGTGCTCTGACTTCACTTTTACGGTCCAATATTCCAGTTTATTCAAGGATTCAAGGAGCTTTATTGTCACACCAGCTCACATTCACATTAGTGGCACCAAACTACCTCTCAGGTCCTGTTGTTTTTAAAGAAAAAGCCTAATAAATAATAATAAAAACTAGCACAAGATATGAGTAAAATACAGCAGTATAAGTGTAAAGAGCAGAAGTGAGCTGAGTTGAGCTGTGAACATGTGCAGCAGCAGGTTGGTGTCCTACAGAAAAGTCCCAGTGAAGAGATGTTTGTGCAGAAGTCCGGATGTGTTGGTCTCCTGCTTCCCTGAACCTGTGATGAGCCGTGGTCCAGTAACTGTGTGTGTTCTGTTCTGTCTCGGAGTGAAAGCGCCGATCAGAAAACACTCATTGGTCATGTTGTTTTGCTCTTCAGCCTGATTCATGTTTCAACTGTTTGTTCTGAAACAGGTGGTGAGAGACTGTGAGAGTCGGATCCAGCACTGGTAAGCATCTTCCAACCCTTCAACTGTTGCACACAGTGTGGTGGTAAAACACTGCTCAGTAGTCAGCAGGTACTGAACCATGTCGTCAGAACTGTCGGTCAGGACTTTGCAGGACGTTCAGCTTTTCTTCTGCGCCTGCTTGTCGGAGTGAATCCGTGTAAGTTTAATGAACATCTCAGCAGCTTTAAAGGCTCTGCACACCTGCACACCTGCACAGGTGCCTGAGGAGCCGCTGGACGGCCTGCAGACTGTTCAGCCTGTTGACCGTACAGCAGGTTAAACACTGTGTGCAGTTGTCACTCTGCAGAGTGAAGGAATTCAGACTCACATCATGTTTCAGCTTCTTTTGTGCTTATATCCACACAGACCATTTGCACAATTCTCATTTCCCGACTGATCTGCAGTCTGTGATTCAGATGTTCTCGGACACACTCGGTTTGTTTGACACCAAAAAGCTCCGTATAGCGACTGTAAAGCCACATCTGGATGCCAGTTACAGCCGTTAAAGCCACTTTGGACACTTAGACCCTGTTTGTTTTCAGCTTTTTTAACGTATTTTTATCTTAAATGCTCTCCTACAGACTGACAGGTCATCAGGTGAACATTTCTTTATGTTTTTTTAATATTATATTGCAGAACAATAGAACATCAAAGTGTTTTTTTCCTCCATCATTGTCCAATAAAGCCGTATTTTCCTGGACTTCAGGTTTCATGCAGCGCTGGGACTTTTTAAGACGTTTTGGTTTGTTCTTGTTGGTCGGACATAAAAAAGAAACGGTGCTTCTGCTGACGTGAACAACAGCCCTCGAATGTTTCATAGAAAACAGTGACAGAGATGCAGAATGGGAGCAGCTACATAGAAAGTGTTTTATTTAGTTTTTACTTTTCCTGCCGTGACGTGTTAAATAGATGAAGATGATTTCAGCAGGAGAGGGACGGAGACGTCAGCTCTCTCATGGGATTGTTCCTCACTGCTTGATCTTTGCTTGATCCAGAAATCGCTCCTCATCCCAAACCTGCTCCTTCTGTTCTGAGGAGCGAGGAGCAAGGAGGGATCTCTGAGGAGCGACGAGGAGGAGCAATGAGGAGGAGACGAAGCCTTCCCTCCTATCGATGACGAGCTCTTTGTTTAGGAGCAGCTACTGATTGGATGATCGGACTCTGACGCTCCATCATCACCGCAGTATTTGGACTAAACATCAGATTCAGATTTTATCGTCTGTTCTGATTCAGCAGTTCAGCTTCTAGGATCTGTGTGAACTGTAGACTGAGTTTAATCTGATCTTTTTAATAAATGCACAGCTGCTTCTGAAGTCGTGTATTTAAATGGACACATGTGGAGAAGTTGATCTTCTCATGTTTAAGGACACACATGTTAATACATTTTAGGAAGTCCATCACCAAATAAAACCGCCAAAGTCACACAAACGCAGCGTCAGCTAAGAGGAACAGACGTGTCATTTCCTGTCTCCTCGCGTCTCCTCCTCCTCTCTCCACGTTCTGCTGATGGAGATGTGATGGAGGGAGCTGACCCACTCTGTGCAGATGTTCAGACGTTGGAGCTCTGATCCGGCAGACTGAGTGGAAACACCTGTCTGAGTGGACCTGAGTGGACCTGAGTGGACCTGAGTGGACCGTGACCCTGTACTGGGACTTCAGTGGAACTCTGTGAGTGTGTTTCATTGATTGCAAGCCGCGAGGCGCCGCCGGCGGTTCTTCGTATGGATGACAGTCGGGAGCAGTTCCAGGAGGCGGAGGACGAGCTCTGATACCGTACCAGGGATTATTTTATATTATGTGAAGGTTAAAGCTCCTACTTGTCAGTTAAACCACATGTTTCTGTGAAGTGATGAAGAACAAACTGGGATGCTGGCGGTGAGCAGAGCGGTCAGCAGTGTTCCTGTGATACAGCCTGTAGAGACCAGCCGGGTCCGACCCGTACAGGTGGTCCCACTGGCTGCTGATTGGAGCTTCTGTAGACGCTGTGACTGACGTCTTCCTCGCTCTCCTGTTGGCTCTGCAGGACACATTACAGCTTCACTGTTCCTCTTTGGACATTAATCCTTCATGTAGGTTCCAACCCGGTTCCACCTTCGATCCATACGGTGGTCCGGTCTGGCAGAATATCTGGTACCACCTTTGTGGGGGTGTGTGTCTTCAGGAATAACCTCTGTCTATGCTGATAGGCTTTAAAATGTCCACCACGTCACCGTTTACCTGCACCAGGAGGCACAGGGTGGTCACATGACACATCTGACTGATGAAACCCAACCAGGAAGTGAACACCAGAAGTTTCTGAGGAAAAAAACTGCATTTGAGTGCAGCTGAAAAGCCAAAAGGCAGCTTAAAAATCATTATTCTTATTTTATTCAATTCAAAGAAGCAGCAGAAGACCCTGAAGCAGTTTTTGCCGTTTAGTGACTCATGAAGCTGTGAGGCGTCTTCACTGTCCAGACGTCCAGCGTTCAGTCACAGACACTCAGGTTATCAGTTCACCTACAAACGTCTGGGAGGCTCTTTTCAAAGCAGATTTGTGACTTTTGATCAGTGGCTCTGCTTTCTTCAGGTGTCCCCAGAAAGCTTTGACAGAACAGAACAAATCCTTCATTTTATCATTTATAACTTTATGTGTATTGTTACAGAACCTTAAGCTGCAGAGTAGCTGCACATTTCTGCTTTCAAGTTCACTGAGTTTTACTCTGTTGTAGTGAAGCTGAACGTATAATATAAATGAACAACAGCGCCATCTTGAGGCCACTTGGGTCACACCAAGTCTGTGAAAGGGAAACAGACACTTCCCCATTAGTCCTCAGTGTGTTCCCTGTTGTTCCTGGTTTCACCTGATCAGTCAGACCAACCAGAGGAGGACTTCAGACAAACCAAACGCTTCCTGAACAGTTGTTGGATGTGTTTGCAGGAAGAAGGTGTCAGGTGACTACGAAGCTCTGAGTGACCGCCTCCAGACTCTACCTGATCAGCTGTCCTATGACATCATGGTGAGTTCTGATGTTGTTTAAAGCACACAGGACCAGAATCCTGCCTCCCAGAACCCGTCCTCCTCCCTACAGGGATGTGTTCATCCCATTAGACGGTTCTGTTTCTGTTGCACATCACTGTTTGCACTCCAGCACTTCTCCACTTCTACTGGACAGTACTACACTTATTGTACATTTTATGTTGTTTATTGTTGTTTATTTATGTGTATGTATGGTGGTGGTGACTCTATCTTTGTGCTGTAACAACAACACGACCTCTCTGGGATGTGATTCTATCCTATTTCTTCTTTTAGTTCTTTCATGTTTTCCACCAGCTGCTCCATTCACTGTGTTCCTCTGACACTCTGCCCTTTCTTTCCTTCTCTTTCCTTCTCTTTTCCTTTCTGCCCACCGTGCTGTGAACAGGTGCCGTTCGGCCCGTTGGCCTTCATGCCCGGGAAGCTGGTGCACACCAACGAGGTCACGGTGCTGCTGGGCGACAACTGGTTCGCTAAGTGCTCCGCCAAGCAGGCCCAGAAGATCGTCGATCACAGGATGAAATGTGAGTGTTTTTGATCGTCTCCCCTCTGATTGGTTGCTCATGTGATCCCTCAACGCCGCCATTCGTCCAGCAGAGGGCGCTGGCGGATCGTTTCTGGACCGCTTGTCTGAGCACTGACAGAACTTGCTTTAAACTGTGCCGTGACTCACAGCGGGGCGTCTGGGCCAAATCTTTGTTTCACAGATGAGCGTGATGCGTTCTGGGTAGTGGGTGGGTTTGTTCACATGTGGTTAAAAGGCTGCAGGCTGCAGAGCGTCTGCCGCTGCACTTCATACGTTACAGGTCGCTGCTGTCGGCTGTAAATCTTGTGATAACAGTTCATAGCAGCAGCACATTCCCACAGCCGAGGCGCTGCAGCGCTTTGGTTCGGTCCAACGCGGGGTGCTGCTGCGGCGGCGGCGCGTCACTGTGCGTTAACCCCGCTGCTCATTCCAGGTCTGAGAAATCTCATATCAAGTCAAATGGGCCCAAGTAACGATGTCTGATGTGAACATTATTAGAATGTTTAGTGAAGCAGAAATGTGCTGCCGCGGCCCATCCCCCCCCAGCCTCCTGACCCGGCCCACCCTGCTATTACAGAGCTAAGTGCTGTAATACAAACACAGTAGCTGAGATGTGTCAGGCAGCGGCTGAGTTGTCAGGCCTTCTGTGTTTGACCTTTCCTCACTTCCAGTTGATGCGCTGACTGGAGGGGCTCCCGATCGCCATGGAAACAAGGGCCCTCTGCTGCTATTAGTGAAAGGGCTTAATTGTTGTGAAGATTTAATGATCCGGAGTAGTATTCAGGGCAGAAGATATTATGAACTGTTTGTGTCATCATTTTTCATCTTCTTTTTTTCCTCCCCCTCCACAACTTGTTTAGGATTTTAACTCTTCAGCTGCTCGCCGTCGTGTCGAATGTTTTATTGAAATCTCTGGTTTGCCTGCAGCCGGCGTGTGTTTTTGTCTCACTGTGATGTGTTCTGTCCAGATGTGAAGAACGAATTAGACGATCTGTCCAAGACGATGAAGAACTTTGAAACCAGAGTCGGGTTTGCGAAGGATTTGGAAACCATCTCCGCCGTATGTTGCATTACTTCACAGGAGATGTTGTGTAACGCTGAACGGGGACAAATGTATTGACCTAAGCGTTCCTGTTCTGTAGAGTAAAGGCGACTATGTTGACATCAGAGAGGAGGTCGGAAACAGCGACGCTGCTGTCGCCAAAGGTACCTCGTCAGCCTTTCTTCTGACCTCGTTTCACTTGAACATCACAGTTTATTGCTTCACTTTTTACTTAATTCTGCTCAGATTGGTGTTTAGGCATAGCAGAGTTCTTCATGAAGGATTTCTGTTCTAACAGGAAAGCAGAGAATCGCTCACAAACCAAACTCCAAGCCCAAGCTGGATGTGGTGTGGGACCTGAAAGAGGAGGACGAGGAGAACGAAGAAGAGGGACAGAGCAGAAAAGACGTGATGACTGAGGAGGAGCTGTGGGCTCGGCTGGATGAGCTTGAGAAGCTGGAGGAGCTCCAAGACGAGCAGGACAGGTATATGGACCGACCCGCCTCACTGCAGTCTGACATGTTCTGACCTCAAGAGAAATCACAGCGTCTCTGGTTTTCCTGCAGACTCTCTGATAACGCCGACATGAACGGCGAGGACACGTCGTCGTCTTCCTCAGAGGAGGAGAAGGAGGCCGAGGCGGCTCCTCCAGTCAACGGCCTGAGTCTGAAGCCCGGCTGGAGCTCGGTGCCTCACTGCAAAGCACCGCTCAGCATGGACGGGAAGAAAGAGCAGGACGACGAGGAAGAGGAGGATAATTGTTTGCCCACCATCTTCTTCTCTCACACAGTCGAACTGAAGAAGGTCAGAGCGATAAATAACGGGGAGCGTTTCACCGATTGGCTGCTCCAGATATTGGAGCTTCTGTCCTTTTCTTTTTAATTGTGCAGCGTGTCTCTGTTCAGCCTTTAACTTTGCCTCTCTCTGGCTCCAGGTGAGGATAAACACAGGAAAAAACACCATGCTGAAGTTCAGCGAGAGGAAGGAGCAGAAGGAGCACTCGAAGAGGAAAAAGAAGAACGGCCACAATAACGGACACTCGCATCACGAACTCCACAAGATCACAACACCAGCAGACATTTACAGGTAGGAAGGAAACGAAGCCAGCGTTCAGTCTGACAGAACGACTCATGTGGGACATCACTTTTAAATGAATTGTTTCTGGCTGGAGCTCTGTGGTGAAGCAGACTGTCGTTCATGTGCAGGTTGTTCGTGGACGTGAAGAACGGAGAACCCATCCCCAGGAAGTCCATCCTGAAGTCACGCAGTCGAGAGAACAGCGTGTGCAGCGACACCAGCGAGAGCAGCGCGGCGGACTTCGACGAGCGCAGGATGGTCTGTCGCAGCTTCAGCCACGACGAGGCGACGCACAGCGACACCAGCGACGGCATCACGGAGGAGGACAGCCCCACGGCGGTGCCGCTGCAGCTGCCCAGCAGGTTTGAGGTACAAACATGGTTTATTTCTGTTTGTCGGCTTGTTGCCTGAAGAGTTAGTGAAGAAAGATTCTTTATATTTAGCGAGTTAGCATGTCTCCCTTTTCCTCCTGCTCTGTGCACAAACACAAATCTGCACAAGGACACGCTGGACCGGGTCGTGTGGGTCGGTCACAGCTGCAGAACCTGGTTGGTGTGCAAACAGAGCAGAACGCTAGCGGACTGTGGAGACGTGTTTGATAAGAAGTGTCTTCAGCTAGAACCATGTGCTCCACCTTTAATGTCACTGGATGTGAAGAACTCAGTATAAACCATGTAGAGATGTCAAAGACAAACTACCACCAAGTGTCTGGAGTTTGACCTGAATGTGGTTTAACACAAGCGCTGATAAGAACAAGAAACACAACATGACAACAGTCGATCAGTGTTTGTGTTACACTTGAGGTGCGAGTGATCGACGCCCGTTTCCTCACTTTGGTTCCTGCCTCCTTCCCTTCCTGCCTCCTTCCCTTCCTGCCTCCTTCCCTTCCTGCCTCCTCCCCTTTCTCCTCAGGCCTTTTCAGGGACGGTGGTAGAAAAGGACCCGATGCCTACAGCTGTGCCCCACCTGACCATCGCTCCACCAGCTCTGCCAACCATCCTGGAGAGGAAGCAGGAGGAGGTGGCGCCCGACGTCTCGCCGCCCCAGCAGGCCCCGAAAAGGGTGTCCAAGTTCAAAGCTGCCAGGCTGCAGCAGAAGTGACTGTTACCCAGCAGATATCCTTCTCTTCTCCAGCCTGCCTTTGTTTTCTACAACTGATGAACTGAGCGACACGAAGCAAACCTCTCTCTCTCTCTCTCTCTCTCTCTCTCTATCTGTCTCTCTCTCTCGCCCTCTCTCTCTCTCTCTGTCTCATCCTCTCTCTCGCCCTCTCTCTCTCGCCCTCTCTCTCTCGCCCTCTCTCTCTCGCCCTCTCTCTCTCTGTCTATCTCTCTCTCTCTCCCCCCCTCTCTCGTCCACTCACTCGTCTAACCATACCTGTGGGGTTTCTGTCGGTATGAGAACTAGTCGTAGCAGCATCATCCGACCCGCTCTGTGTGTAACCTGCTTTTAACCGTCATGTTTTTCTGCTCATCCAGTCCCACAGAGTAAAAGCACTTGGTAGTTTTGGTAGTTTTCCATCTTGTCGTCGGCCTTGTTTCAGCCGTCTGTCGTCCGTTTACCGTCTTCTGCTTTTCAGTGAGTTTGTGCTTTTGCCGGATCAGACAGTCGGCCTCAGAACCAGTTCACTAGTTTAGTTTCTTTTCCCAACATGAGTCACTTCGTCTCCTCTTGACCTGCCTAATGAATGTACGGATTCCTTTGTGACAAGCTTTATGTAAAGACAAAAAATCATATTGGTGGAAACTGAAAGGAAATAAATGATTTTGACTACTAGTCCTGGTTCCCTCCATGTCCCAGAGATGATGGTGAAGCTCCCCAGAAGAGACGGATGTCCGTTTTATTCAGATTCTGCTGCCAAAGCTTTGTTGGTTTTCCTGGTATCGTAGAAAGAAGCTGAAGTTTTTAGTTCCAGTTGGCGTGCACGCTGCATAGCAATAACGGGTGACAGTAAAACATTTCTCTCTGCTCCTGATACTTAGTGTAAATAGTTTGGTCTTTAAACGGCTATTAGCAGACACTGACTGAGCTAATATGAGCTTTTATGAATTATTGTTACTCCGACTGAATTTCCTGTTGTGCATTAAAATTTGAAGAGCTAAGTAAAGCACCAGCCCAAATTGCAGCCAAAATTTCTAAGGGAGCAATAACGTTTCATCAGAGTTGGAAGCCAATCGAGCACAGAGCGCCTTCTCTGGTTTGTAGAAGCTCCGTCGATCTGCAGCCGTAATGGAGGAGCAGGAAGCCGGCGAGTCGGGGCGCAGCACCAGAAACACACTGCTCAAGACCAGAGTGTTATTCAGAGATCACAACCTGCAGCCGGTCGCAGCCGATGAGCTCAGTAACGGTAAAATCATCCCATGTGTGTGTGATGCTGGTCGAGGTGAAATATTTCAACATTCACAGAGAACACAGGGTTTATTACAACCTGAACATAATTTAAATTAGTTGTGTTTAGTGTAAAATCTAAAGATGCAGCTACAGGTGTTAAATGGATGTAGTCGGGTTTTTTAGTAGAAGTTTAAACCAGAGGGTCACCAAAATGAAAAGATATGAGAATAAAAATAACAAATCAGCTGCTGATTTAAATACAGTTTAAGCTGTTTTTAGTGGTGGGGGTTTCAAGAGTTATAGACATGTTTATTTTAATTTTTTTTAAATCGAATGCTCAGAAGTGACATAAAAATGCTCAGATTTCTGTGAAATTGTGGCTTTTAATCAGATGAATCCTGCTAATGGTCACACATGAGTGAAAATACTCCAGTAAATGTCCTCCAGACTGCTTCAGTGGAGTTTATCTGTCAGTGTTGTGTTTACTCGTCCTGACGGGTTTAACCTCCTCATCACACGGCTGTAGTGATGAAGGCAGGGTACAGGTGACCTCATAGATATGTTTAATAAAGGCCTTATTAAACATATCTACGGGTGACTTCATGACTTCTGTGTTTTTCTAATCATTCAGATGATTTTGTTTAAATCATTGTATTCATTCCTGTTAGAAGATCCAAGTTTTCTGGACCCTGAGGTTCTGATCAGTGAACTACTGGGTCGGGTCACGGAGGCGTTCTCCTTTTACTGGCCATAAATTTGTTTGTTTGTTCTTTGTTTCTGTGGTTCTGATCATCAGCAGGGCGACCGATGGACGCCGCTGTACTCCATCTGCCTCCAAAAGCAGGTTTAATTAAAGCTGTGACTTCAGTGTGCGCTGAAGGACCATCACTGCCCTCCTAGTTAAACGGTGGGAGTGCAGGTCTGTGATAAGAAGCTTTCTAACAGGTCCTGAGGTGACTTCCTCCCCTCCCCCCACCCGGCCCTTTCATCAGGATTATTCCTCCAATATGAAAATCCAGGTAGCATGAGACAGATTAGGCGACGCTTACCATGCTAGCGTTGTGTTGGTGAGACACAGATCAATGGACTTATGTGGGTTAAGCTGTGAAGGTATACGCTGGAACATAGCAGAAGTACGTTTCAAAGAAATCTAGCATACAAACTATGTAATGAGCTGCAACGCACGCACACTCTGGAGATCTGCATTTCAGGGATTAGGAGGGATTTTAAGGGGTTGTGTGATGAAGGACTCAGGCAGGTATTGTTGTCCAGACAGGTGCTGGGGCCTGAGAGGCTGAGAGGAAGAGTTGCATTTAGCTCCCCATGACAGAGGGAATGGATTAAACAGCAGCCAGCATATCTGCCTTCCAACGTATGAAATTAAAGATCCAAGTGTCTTGTAGCTACATCATTTACAGCCAGGGCCGATAAGAGCAACTGGTCTCTGTTCTCACTTCCTCCACTAATGAAGCTCAGGTGGGGAAGAAACAGGTGTTCAGGAGCAGCAGCGTCGTGATGTTTCATCCTCCAATCCAACTCAAATAGCACTGTGATTTTTAACCATCTGGGCTTTTAAGTTTTGGAAAAATATAAAACCTAGCTCAGTTATTTTATTTTTTAAATCACTTTTTATAATCAATAATCACAATGAAAACAGAATCAGTCCATTAATGAGGAAACCTGACGGCTGGAATAAAGGTTGAAGTCATTTGTTTAAACTATCTGGTTCCAGCTGTAACATGTCAGGATTTCTGACTTCATATATCTGACATTAGTAAATTATTTTTCTGTTTTTATTTGTGCTTCCACATCAACACATTTACAGGCTTCATCGTGGCTTCTTTATTTTCCCAGACTGGCTGATGTTTCACATATAAAACTCTTCCTGTACTGATGAATGAAGGCTTCCTCCTGAATGACGTCTGTGACAAAAAGGTGCATTAATTTAAAAATGTAAAACATTTACTCTGCAAACACTAAAATCAAAGACCTGTTGCTGTGTTTTCTTCTGTTTGCTTTATTTCTGTTGCTGTAATTAAGTTTCCTGTCTCTCTGAGAGGAACACGTGTGGAATGCCTTCATTTATTTGACGTGGGATGTCTGAGCTTCACCGCTTTTTGGGGCTAATAGTCTCCAGTGAAGGTCAGGTGGATGTAGAAGTGTGATAGATGTTACAAGCATCCAATTAAGCCTCCTTAATAGAGCCGTTCACTCACTGAAATGCTAAATCACGGAGGTATGATATTCTCTCCTCCTATATGCTAACAGCAGTCTGGACACATGAAGCCAAAGCTTTGGCAGAACCCTCCGCTCCGGATCAGCCTGTTCCGGTTTTTAAAGGACCGTAAAACGCAACCCGTCCTGCTTTCACCGAACTTTTCAAACATTAAAGTGCTGCTTTTGCAGGGAATCCCCTCCACATATGTGACAAGCGTAAAACCACATATTGCATTCAAATGCATATCAGGAAAAAAAAACACCGACAGCTGAAGTCTGCGTCTTGGAGACGGCGGTGCACATTTTACGCACGGTGCCAGTCTGTTACACTTACACACCAGCGGCCAGATGAGGGAGACATACGGCTTCGGGACATGTCGAAGTATCCCGAGTAATTTTTTATAAGATTTCATTACCTCTTTCTTCAACTGGAAATACTACAGAGCAAAGCGCGCTGCCGTCTCCGTCTGGCTCCAGAAGACGTCTAAAGCTTGTTGGCTTGTGTTTTTTTTTTTTTTCTTTCTTTCTTTCTGTTTTTTTCTCTCAGAGCGGAGGAAACGGCAGTTCAAGCGGAAATCTGTCTCCTACTGTGTGTGCTGGGCGTTTATGATAAAGCGTGTGAAGCGTTCAGTCCGTCAGTCAGCAGTCAGTCATCCAGGTCAACATCACTCCGCTCAACTCCAGCTGTCACACCGTGTCCTCGCGCCTCCTCGCACCGGCCAGGTAAGAGAAATCACTGCGGCTCTTCAAGATTAGCTCAAGTTATTTGCCAAAAGTTTCTGACGAGTCGAGATTGTGATGGACGGAGATGCCGCTGCTGGCTCTCCTTCTATTTGCCTCATAAAGTAAGTCATGGCGAGGGCTGAGAGGGGGCGAAGGAGGGCACTTTGGCGTAAAAATTGGCCGAGAGGATGCTGGAAACACCAACCGTGTGCATGTTTAATCTGCATATGGTTTCTGAACACGTTCTATAATATTCTGATTCCGACTCTATCATATCAGCAATGAGTCCACACGTTTCTGTTTTAAATTTCACGTTAATTACAATTTAAGAAAATCTAAATAATGAAGAAATGATGCGGGCTGATGAAGTTGTGAGAATAATGATGCAAGGTGTGTTAGTGTCCAGTTCTCCTGGTGTGTGTTAGAAACAAGCCTCATTATTCACATGTGTGTTTTTTTTAAGTTGCATCTTTTGCAGCCTTGCTTTATTTATTGTAATGTGTGTGTTTTTTCTTTAACTGTCACCTGTACAGAGTGGCACAGCTACTTTCAAAGCCACCCTCACCCTCTGCCCCCTCCCATCCTCCTGTTTCCAAATGCTCTCCTTTGAAGCGATGATGCCCCATCTGTCATATGTGAGCAAAGAGAGACCATGCTCTGCTCTTCTCAATTACTGAATTCTCCTCATGCCAGCTCCGGTGGGACAGGAGGAGGAGCAGGTGGGTGGCAGTCAGTACGATCAATCAACATGAAATATTCAGCTTTGAATATACACATCATTTACTACTGCTGCTGCTGTCCTTGTTAGAGACACCCCCCATCCTCCTCTCCAAAAAACCACAAAAAAAAAAAGATTTTGGGGAGGTTTTGTGTGAAGCACGTGTGACCATGTATAAGCTGTGACACAGTTCCTGATGGGAAGAAAAATGGGCCAGTGTACGTTCAGGTGACACCTGAATCATCTCTAAATGACACC